TTATTAGAAAAACTTGTAGGGCTGTAAAAGAAAAATAATATAGATTTTCTTTCTTTTTAAATTGGAAAACAATTTTTTCATCAGGTCAAGCATATATCTAGTATTATTTATACTGCATTTTCTTCAAATGATTTTTTGCTATCCAAATAATGCTTCACATCTATAATGGTTGCTAGAACTTTATTAATAGTGTTGTTTTTTTTCCTTTTTTATTTTTAGTTTGCTATAGGGTCCGTGTATTCATCAGAGACAGAGAGAAGGAAAAAGGGAAGAAATCACCTCCCAGAGGGGATGGCCATATAGAGATCCTTTTTCCTCCATTCTCTCAGGACTTGGGGCACAAACACACATGCCCAGAGTTATTGTCAAGCTGCTGGGTCCAGGATTTGAATTGCTCTGTTGGCCATGGGGAATCCAGTCACCCTAACCTCTGAACTACTTGCTGGCTTTTTGAATACAATGATAGCTAAATCATTTCTTGGTAAAATAATGTAATCTCTTGGATTACAACTAGGAAGTTCACCTTATCAAATGACTCTTTGAGTGATATTGTGTCACATGAAATTCTGTTGTCTCATTGCCATCTCCCAATATCATGAGATTATTAAGAAAAAAATTGGATAAGTGGTCAAATTAATTTTGTGTATTTCAAAGGAAAACTATGGTGCTACAAGATATGGTGAAGGGCCAGCAGATGGCATTGTGGTTAAGATGCTGGAGTCCAACATGACTGACCACGGCTCAAATCCTGGACCTAGTGCCTTGAAACTCACTCAGGTGAGTGTGCATGCATGCCCAAAACCCTGAGAGAAGAATGGAGGAGAAGGTATGGAGAAGGGTAGTATAAAAAGGAAGCCGTGACTCTATGCATTGAAAACTGTTGTGTTGAGCTAGTGAAAAGCAGATCCTTTTTGGAGAATGTTGATATCAAACATCATGTACTCAGCAGGCGGGGGATTCCATCTGTACACTACATGTCATCTGGGTGGCAAGTCTATAGATAGACAGATTCAGGGGAGTGTGAGAAGCAAATGATCTGTCTTGAGTCAGTTTACTAAGTCATTCAGTCAAAACTTAGGGCTTCAAGAAATGGACAAAGGCAGAAGTTGTTATATATAGTGATAAAAAAAGGGACTATTTTGGTGAGTGAAGTTCATTTTAAAAATTTGTATATGTGTATAAATTGATAGTCTAATCAGATGTAGCAGTACCTGCTAACACACATGGAAGCAATATTATATATGATCTTAGATAAAAAGAATTGATATTCACATCCTTGAAATAGTAGATACATCAAATTCTCAGGAGGTGTCCAATGACAGTGTGTTCCTCAGTCTTTTTCTTTTTTATTCTATTTTTATTTATTTATTTTATATTTATTTACTTTGCATCATTACAACATATCGAATGAATTTTCTTATCATGAATATACTGGATATTGGTTCAGTCAAAGATATACAAATTATTATCAACAGATAATGTCCCATTTTAGGTCCCTTAAATGTCTTGCTTCTTCTTCCCCTTGACTTCCTCCCTCTCAACCTTCCCCATTTCCCACCCTCTTCTCACACTCTCTAAAGTATTCACAGTTGCTCTCCATGACTTTACACCTTCCAGGCTATCAGTTTCTGCCATAGAGTGCAGGCATTTGGTATATACTGAGTGGAGGCATGTGATGCCTCTCTTTCAGAGTCTGGCTTGCTTCACTTAGCAGTAAATATTTTATATATCTTTTTCTCCAGTCTTTGTTATTGTTGTCTTTCTGTTTCTCTCTCATACATATATCCCCATACACACTCAAACAGAAAGAGCAAAAATAACATAAGCAAATTCATTTAATGTAATAAAACAAAATTTACAGAGATATATAGTTAAACATGAAATTTATTTTCTCACACAAAGTATTGAATTGTCAGAAAAGCATGATGTATTTTTTTTGCATAGAAAAACAGAAAAACATTCTCCTCTAGGAATTTTGGAAATGCATGGTAAAACGAACATATAAGGGAAGCTAGAGTAAAACTTTCCTGTAAATTGTAAGATATTAATTGATTTTGATCAATCAAAATGTGGCATATTGACTAATTTGTATTACTTTTTACCCGGAAGTCAGCAATGAAATTGGCTTTTTTTTTTTTTCTTTTTGATAGTGAATTTGGCCATAGGTCATGTATACTCACTGGAAAGAGAGAAACTGAGAAATTCCCTTTCAGGGACACAGCCATGTCACGATCCCTTCTCCTACATTCTCCTCTAGGAATTTTGGAAATGCATGCACACATGTCCGTCATATTTCAAGCCTCCAGATTCCTTACTTGAACCATGGTTGGCCATGTGGGAGTCCAGCATCTTAACTGTTATGCCACCTGCTCATCCTAAAATTGGCATTTCTGATTTGAGTGTGGTGATGGGTTAGGAAATACAAGTGGCAGAGAAGAGTAGGTTAAGCTGCTCAGGAAGAACCTTGGCAGAGTTTAGACAACCAGACTATTACACTGTAAGATGAGCATCTCTAACCAGAGTCTGGGCACCATAAGTATTATCATCATTGCTCATGTGATCAGAAATCAAAAGTTCTGTCAAGTACCCAGATATACATTCCCTCAGACTGAATGTCACCAACTGCACATTGTAGAGTCTTTTAAATAATACTCTGTTGTTGCTCACACAAGCCATGAGTGGTGCCATCCTTGTAATGCAGGCTAATCATTGAAATTAACTATCATCAGCTGCACTGGCCCTGTAACCTAGTGGTTAAGTGGATACCACATGGTCAACTGATGGACACCACAGGCTTGGTTTAATTCCCCACTGCTCTGCCCCCTAACCCAAACCCCAAACCATCACCATCAACAGCTTGAAAAAGACGGTGGGCACATTTCCAACAGAATGGAGAAATGGAGGAAATAGAACTGTAGCATGACCATGCTCTATTGGGAGTTTTCTCTCTCTCTCTCCCCTCTCCCCCTTGTGAGTATATCCATCATCTGTTGGTTAAAGGGGAAAATGTCATCAACTCACATGGAGATGATGTGTTTTTGTTTGTAATATAATAATACAGATTTGTCTTTTGTTAAAAAGCAAGTGCAGGGATTGGTCAATGGTGCAGATGTAAAACAGGGCAAAATGTGAGGTTGAGTCACAGGGGAAGGTTCTGGGTTTATATCTGACAACCCACCTGAGTACATTGGGCACACACATGCCTATAATCTGGGGCTGGCTGAGCTAGGGGTGGATCATGGCGTTAAGACTCTGTTGGAGGTGTGCCTATCCATCTCTGTTTCTCTCTCATGGAAGAAATAAACAAAAAGAAGTAAAAACATTTTTAAAACACAAATTGCAAGGTTAGCCAGTGGCATGGTGGTAAAGGTGGCTGGGTCCCTCATGCCCAACTGTGTGTTTGGAGTCCTAGATCTAGCAGTTCTCCAAAAGTAGGGGGAAATGGAAAAGAAAGGATTGTGGCATGACTGTTCCCTACTTTGTCACTTTCCTTTTGTCTTTCCTTGGCAATTGCACATGCCTTATGATGATTATTTTTTTTAAATGTAATCTGTTTTATGGCCAAACAAAGTGATTAGTGTCTAGAGCATGTCTATCATTTGGGAAAAAAAGACCTCCCCGAGCGCAGTTCTTCATAGCTCCTACCTGATGATTTTCTATGTTATTCTTTTTATACACAATGTCATAATTTGGACAATGAGACTTTGGAAATGTACATGTGTATAAATTCATATAGTTCCAATTTCTGACATGGTGTCAGTTGAATTAATAGAATTCATTAAAATTATATCCTTGCTATGCTTTAACATTAAACAGATAACATTTTATCATTTAGGTATTTGCTGAGGGCCTACTATGTATAGTCACTTTTAATTTAGTGTATTATATTACTCCCAGTACTGTTATATACTTCCCCATATGATCTGTTTTCTCATTTACAGCATTATGTACTATAGGATATAACAATGTGGGGCAGCAGGTGGCATGGAGGTTGGAGTGCTGAACTCCCACATGGCTGACCACAGTTTGAGTCCTGGAGAGGGCAGGTTGCTTTCTTACTTTCCCTCTCTCTCTCTGTACTCAGTGAGCACATGTGCCCTATAGCAAAATTTAAAAATATAATAAATAAAATTAAATAAATAATTTAAAAAATAAAGATATAACCATGTTGCAAAACCATTTAAAATATTAGAATATCTCAGGAAAGCTACTTTAAATTGAAATATTTTCACTAGATACCTCCAAAGTTGGGATGTACACAGATATCTCCAAAATATTTGGATCAAGACAATCGGGTTTTACATCCCAATAACATATGAACATACAAAAAATGGTTGGGATTTAGCAGTAAGGTTGTTAGGTTTTATATGATATATCTTGATTAACAAATAAAGAACAGATTAATAAATAACAGATAAGTCACAGACAAACTAGTAACTTCACTCAGACCCCTTTAAAGACTGACTCTAAAATTAAGAGGATTGGGAATGAAACTAGAACTGTTTTTATAGTAAAATGAAAACATATGTGAAGTTCAAAGGGTCTAAGTGTCATTGTCACTTCAGATTGCTCCAAAGACAGTATTCTCTTTTCCTTTTTCTTTCATATGTTATTCTTCCTCATCCCATTTGCCACTATACCAACACACACATATACACAAAAAGGAGAAGATAAATCAATTTGAATGCTACAAATCAATATTTAAATGAAATAAATTTTTATTAAAATAAACTTTGAATTTTCTTACATAAGTTGATCAAAAATGTAAAACTTTTAATAACAATACAATGTCAAAAATAAAACTTTTCAAAAAATGTGTGACACATTTCAATGACTCTAAATAAGGCTTTTAGATTCCCACCTATTTTCCCCCTAGCTACTTCAGGATGATGTTAACAATGCAGAAGATACAAATGAATTATTCTATTAAGCACCATGGAGGCATATTCAAGAAGCCTGTGTAGAGGCAATCAGTAGAATGAGTTTTTAATGGAAGTTTCTCAGTAGAATCCAGAAGACCAGTATCTTCTATAGCAAGATGGACGGCAGCAGCCATAGCCATAGCCCCCCAAG